CACAAACTAGCGTCCTCCCGTGACCCAAAGCTCAGTATACCGCGAGCTACAGCTACTGGAGGATCGGACAGGGGAGGAGGGAATCCCTGCAGGGAGCCGTGAGTAAGTCACGGCTCTCTGCAGGGACAGGATCGAGAAGTGAGCGAGCGACGGTATGTGTTCGCTCACTTCCCGATCTATTGAACCAACGTGTGACAGTTTCATTGTTTTTTTTTTTTTTAAAGATTTTTGCTTGCACGATTAGATTACTGAAATCAGCACATTTTCCCCAACACAACAGCATGCAAACATTTTAAATTGTTTATTACATAGAAACTGATCCATCATTGGCTGATGTGTCACTGGCAACATACTAAGCAAAAAATGTGATGTTTGTAAAGAACCGATGGGCCACATACTATGCCACCCTTAAAAAAACAAATAACATAATTGATGGTAAATTCTGAATAGCCCTTTTTTTGAGGCTGCCATTGCAGGCCAATGTGTTCACTAGTTCCAGCACATGTCTCTCTCTAAAAACACATTGTTTACCTTTATAAACTGCAGCAGTAGATGGGAGGTTGCACAACACACAATTATGTGATAAAATGGGCATAGACAGAAACCCTGTGCAAAACTTCAAAATCTTGGCTTGGTTTTGATAAAAAGCAAACTAATTGGACTTTGGGATTTAGCTTAATTGCAATGTTTCCTTTTTAGTGTTCGCACTTTAATGATTGACTTCACATGTTGCCTGGAGCTACTCATCAAAACTGACAGACTCCATGCTTTCAGTATGCACAGTGATGAAAATCTGTATTAACGTAAAAAAGTATATCACATACCTTAAAGGAGAACTATGGGGTCAGTGTTTTTCCCCATAGTTCTCCTTAGGGTAACGGGAGGACGCTAGTTTGTGTCCTCCCGTTACCCTAAGGAGAGCTATGGGGAAAAACCCTGACCCCATAGTTCTCCTTAGGGTAACGGGAGGACGCTAGTTTGTGTCCTCCCGTTACCCTAAGGAGAGCTATGGGGAAAAACCCTGACCCCATAGTTCTCCTTAGGGTAACGGGAGGACGCTAGTTTGTGTCCTCCCGTTACCCTAAGGAGAGCTATGGGGAAAAACCCTGACCCCATAGTTCTCCTTTAAATAAAAAAAATGCAATATAAGTCATATAAAATAAGTTTCTAAACATTCTATTTAGGCCAGCACTATAATGTGGATCACAGTGTGTAATCTACTTTTTCTTTGTAATTAGATGAATGTAGTGAGAGAACACTTCTGTAGTGAACAGGAACAGAACGTAATAATGAAGTACATGCAGAAAAGATTTGGGTTTCATGCTTTACGCTGGTATTCAGCACTACCAAAGCAACACATCAATGAAATAATAAATCAGAAACACCATCAGTTTTTCCTTTGTCCTTTTTTCTGAAAGCCCTTGTGTATAAATCATAGTAAAATCTGCATAATTTATATCTGTAGGCTAATTACAGCTTAGTCATTAATATCTTTAATTAAATCAGAATGTGAAAACATTCTTAATTAATGTTAGTGAAATGATCTTAAAGAACCAGTGAGAGTACTTGAGTAAATGCAGCCAGAGGAATTCCTCAATATCAGAAACAAAATAAAGAAAAAGTGAGAAAGGACACCAACTGATACGTGGACCACTGCAAGGCCATGGACTGACATCAGTGAGGAATGTGGTAGCTTCCATTGTGGATTATTTCTGAAGGTTCAAGTCACTGACTAGGAACCAGCATTGCATATCATGCATTGGGATATGCTTGTCATGAGACTCACCATGTGTTGACGGAAGGAGGATGACGACCCTTGAGAATCAAAAACAAGTCCATAATGGCAACTTCCATACTTCTATAGTGACAGGATCCTTTTAGAAGGAATACGTCATCATTGATGATCAACTGAAGTTTGACATCATCTGGAACTAGCCAAAAAATTGCCAGCTTTAGCTGAAGTCATCCATTGGAGCTAATGATCATGCCATAGTGGTGACTTGTAGTTCTACAAACAACACAGTAACAGGTACAGCAAACTATCGATAGCTAGCTACAATTCACCAAGTGTTATGTGTCTGCAGCATGTTCCAACTTGAGCCAATGCATTGATCCCTCCTCCCAGGCTGCATCTTTTAAAATAGGAAGACCAGCAGGACCCGATAAAAAAACAGATTTATGGTACTTACATAATTAAAAGCAACACTAATTTAAGGAGTTAAATCTTAAAAACACATTCAAGTACCTTAACCATTAACAAAAATGTAGCTTATTTGTGTATCACTCAGCTGTAGATAATCTCTAAATTTGTGCTGACATTGTCCTTCCTCCTGGAGGGTGGCTACTTTTGTTCCCCAAGGTCCATGTATGTGTCACTTTAATCTTAAAAAGGAGGCTTTATTGCCCTGAAGAAGCAGAATAAAGATTGATGTCAACAAAGTAACTGCTCTACAGCTTTCTCTGTTGACGTTGGTTTTTATTCTGGTGTCTTGCCTTCTGCTTTAACCCCTTCATGACTGAGCTAGTTTTCAGTTTCTGTTCATAAATGACTGACACACTTTTTACATTTTTGCTGTGTGATTCTTCCACAGCAGTAATATACTTTCTTACTAAATGTACCCACACATATTATATATTGTTTTTTAGAGGACAGATAGGGCTATATAATTATATCACATATGTGTACCTAATCCCTCACTTAGTTTGAATTAAAAAAAGAGGAAAAAAAAAAAACTAGAAGAAAAAAAAAACTTTTTTTTTCTTGTCAGTTTATATCAAGCAGTCACTATGACTGCTTGATAAATTAACTTTTTAAATTTTTTTTTGGCTATTATTAGGCTGCTCCAAACTTAGGAACAGCCAATAATAACCTTAGAGACTGGTCCTGACTTTAGTCAGATTCAGAGCTCACTAAAAGCTCTTTGATCGTGCCTAGACGATCAGAACTGATACATTTCACTCAAAAGGTATACATTGTATGTTTTTAGTGAAATGTATCTAAACATCGGGCTCTCGAGCTGTCAAAACAAATAGCAGAGAGGCGAGTCACTGCTACCTCTCTGCTATTTTCCGCTGTCAAATACAGGATCGCAAATTGTATTTGCATGTAACGGCTTCATTCTTTCATTAATGAAAGGAAAAAGCTTTTACAAAAGCTTAATTATGTCATTAATGAATGCCTCAATATGGAGGCATTCATTAATGACTGGTAACTGCTGAGAATCAGCTGTTACCAGCATTACAAAGCCTGATATAACTTGTCCCATACAGTGTAGGTGGCTAGTCATATAGGCACTTTGTGATGGGACGTACAGTGTACGTCTCCCGTCACGAAGGGGTTAATATACTCGTGTATTCATTAAAAAACAAATTATGTTCACAACGCAGGTGTCCCGCCATATTATATAACCATTTTACCTGCTATATCAACATCTGGGGCCTACTTACCCCATCTCTGGATCTCTCACTGTATCAAGGTTCTATTTCCATCAGGCTACCATCTTGTCTTCCACAAGACCAAGTATTGTTTGATGTTATTGACCTCAATATCTCTTTCTCAGTGGGGGCTGGATGTTACCCAAGCACACTCCAACCGGTGGCAGAATGCTGGCTCGGATCTTGAAGTGGAACTACACTATCCTATCCTTAACAGCAGGGGTATGCAAACTCCATGCCCTCCAGCTGTGGTGAAACTACAGATTCCATCATGCATCAGCTTCTACGAGTCATGCCTGTGGCTATCAGAGCCTTGGAATGCCTAATGGGATTTGTAGTTGCATCACAGCTGAAGGGCCAGAGTTTGCCCACACCTGCTTTAAGGCCAAGGAATGGGCCGTCTTAGCCTACTTTTGGACTGCAGTTGCCATGGTACTGCACATATGATCAGCTATGACACTTGAGGGCTTGAAGGTTTGGTTAAGAGCTGAAATAAGCAAACTGAGAACCTTGACAGTTGGCATGACTTGAAAGTAACTGTTTTGGGAGACAGATAAAGCAGAATTTGACCCACCAATTTAAGACGAATGGGTTCAGCCCCGATTTCTAGTTTATGTTAATAAAACAAAAATTCAAGACGTGGTCATGGATATACAAAACGTTATGTTGCACTGTAATGTGCCGCTTAGAGCAGAGGACTTTTCATAATGATTACATTTACACCACATGCAACATGCCCTGTAAAACATTCACCATGATGAATATTGCATCAGTATGTTTATGTCTCGCAAAATAAGAGTTATCAAAAAACAAAAAATATATATATTTCTCAATTTAACTAGTGTAAATACCTGACATTGTGTTGATATCAGCATTCTGTTAGCCTCTTGCACACAAACTAGCATAGGAAGGGCCAGCCCTAGGAGCCAATCAGATTGTGCTGCATGCACATATGCAGACAGGGCGTGTTTTGGGCGAGCTATGTTGCAGTGGATGTTGGGGAGGTAGGAGTGCTGGGATGTCAAGATTAGCGAAAGGAACTAAAAATGAGGGAAAACATATGCATATTTTAGCTGTGTATTTTAATACTTGCTTGTACCAACTTTAATACTACTTTATTTGTTCCATCTAGATCAGGGAAGGGGGGCAACACCTGCAGTGCTTTAACTACAAATCCCATGACTCCTCTGGGAGTCATGCCTGTAACTGTCTTGCAATGCCTGACGGGACTTGTAGTTCTGAATGACCCGAGTTGCCCACCCCTGATATAGATGCTAATCTCAATACATTTAAAGGTGTTTCCCTTAGGATTTACCTAAAATGGATTTACCATTACGACTTTCCTGTCTTTCACCCGGTAAAGGACTTTGGGGGCCAGTTTCTATAAATGTGCTTAGTATCACAATTGTCTTTGTTTTTATATTATAAAAGTGAAAGCATTATTAATTTTATTAAATGTATTTTGTAATTGCTCATATACCTTTTATTTTGATAAAGTTTATTCTAATTTTTAAAAGTAAGCATTGCCAAAAATCCCCAATCTCGTATCCCAGTAAAGTGCATACTTTTGAGGTGAACGGAGTTCCACTTCATTTTTCAGCCTTAAGTTTTCTCTCACCAGCTCCACATCTTCATTTTTCAGCCTTCTATTTTCCTGTAAGAAAAAGATAAACACATTAGCACTGCGACATACAGAGGAAAAATGTGCAGATACATCGTGCCACCGCAAGAACATTGTTTTTAATTAACATTGGGACAGAAATGGCACTTTGTATTCATATTCCCTAAACACAAAGCAAATTCCCCATCAAGGGAGGAAAACAAAGCTTTGCATTTAGTGCAGAAAGTCATTAAGGGAATGTACTAATTGCTTTTCCATGTTTTTCACATGACTAGATAGATTTTGGCCAAGTAAATCACAATATGCAGGTATCAGCGAAATAGATGATCATTTGCTCCACATGACTAAATAAAACGGGACATTTTACATATAAAATATGGAGGTCTAAGACATATAAATGTGAAACAGGTAGGTCACTTCTTCAACATGTTCATACTGATGTCTAGTGGCTCAGAGACTTTGTGCTTTCAGAAACTGGGAACACACTGAGCAATGTAGGCAACGGCAAGGGAAAAAGCACAAGTGGCAAACACAGCAAAGTACTTTTTCTTTTAAGATTAGCATTTTAAATGAGTCATTTAAAGCTGAACTCTGGGATAACCAAATATTGTCTACATGCAAGAGCCATGTGTATTCTTATTTGAATCTTGATGTGTTTTGTGTATTCCTTCAAGATCTAGGCAGTAGTCCAGTGCAAAACTTTGCTGCTGTTCAGAAACGTCCTGTAATAAAGACCAACCACTGCTGCTCACTCTCCCTGTGCAGGATGACTGGTCTTGTATCCACCCCCTCCTGTAGTTTTCTGCAGGCAGTCTGTAGTAGGTGGAGCCTACTGGGCTTGTTTTGATGACACAAACTGCACTATTGTTACAACAAAATGGGTATAAATGTACAATTGTGCACTGTAGAACTGTAGATCCATCAATATCCCATCCAACTGACAGACTGATAGATATGGTTATGCCAGGGGTGGGCAACTCTGGCCCTCCAGCTGTGCTTTAACTACAAATCCCAACATGCCCATGTCTCTGGGAGTCATGCCTGTAACTGTCAGCCTTGCAATGCCTCATAGGACTTGTAGTTCTACAACAGCAAGAGGGCCAGACTTGCCCACAACAGTGCACTTACATTTGTGCACATACAGTAATGTGGATTGTGTCACAATGTTGTGGTTACATGTGCACATAATGAAAGTGATGTGGTCTAGGTCACAGTTGTGCAGCTGAACTTATTCTGTGCACATCTACAGTGTTGTGGTCTGTCTCATCTATGCAGTTATATTTGTGCCACCTTAAACATTGATGTCTGTATCACAACATTTAAGTAAAGCCTGTTTCTATTTCTTGGGTAGCTCAAGGCTGATATATCTGATTTTGTATGTGCTCTTTACAATCTCATGTTCTAATTGCCTTTGAGTAAAGTTTTTTTCTTTTTGCAAATATGTAAACACCACAGAAAAGGAAAGAGAAGGTAAAACGTAAAGCTCAAACGTTAAGCTCAATATTCTTTGAAAACACATACAACTGCACACAAGAGCACCCTGAAAAAATATATCAGTTATAAAAAGAAAGGTTTGAACTCATCGCAGGCAAACCAGATAACCCAAGGGCACATAAATGTCTCCATCCATCATCAGGTTATGAGAATACTCTCAAACCAGCCTGTGATAGATGATGGCAGGTACTGCTTTGGTGTCTCCTATTGCATTCTAGGGACCGTGCAAGAAACTGAAATACAGATATAATAAAAGCAACTATAGGAAGTATATCCTATAGGCTCTAAGACCCAACTGTACTCAAATTAAATGGAAGCAGAACCACAAACTGGGTTTCCATATTGTGTGACAAATAAAAGCAGATCTATGCTTACCGTGGTCAGTTTGCGTTGCTTTATCTCCCTATTGAACCTATAGGATGACGTGACATCGCCTGTAGTACCATGTTCAGCCTGGCTGACACGCCCCCCCGCCCAGATTACACCCCCCCAGCCCTGCTTAGCCAATGCTGCGTGGAACACAGAACCCTCTACATTATGACACTGGCTTCCTTTTTAACCATGCCCCCCTCCTCCCCCCTACAGAAGTGGGTTCATAGGTGAACTCTTGTGGTCATATGAAGTGACAGTCTACTTAGCAAACACACACTTAAGCTGGACCTCATCGAACCCTCGTTCGATTTCCGCTCAATTCCCCATCATGCATAGACCAATGTCGATTTTGATAATCGTTCGTTAGCAATACTAACTCCCTGAAATTCGTCGATCGACATAATGGATTTTCATTTGCGCATGTGCAGTGTTCATGTTGCGATTATTTTCGTACGAAAACGCCACTTATCTATCAATTTACGTTCGATTCAAAAAACGTTTTCCAGCCTCACCCTTCAAGAAAATTCAGCCAGTAAAAAAACCCAAAACATTGGGTTCCCATTAACTCAGTGGTTCTCAACCTGTGGGTCGGGACCCCCTCGGGGGTCGAATGACGATTTGCCAGGGGTCGCCTAGTGGCTCTCGGCCGCCGGGAGATAAACACTTTCTCCCGGAAAGGTCGGGACCTTTCTCTGCTCTGTTTTTTTTTTGAGGCCGCCGTAAGTCAGAAAAAAAAACAACCCACCATAGGAATGCATAGCTTGATTCCTATTGGCTATTTCACTTTCAAAAGCCAATAGCAAACTAGCTATTGCACCCGCCCTCTGATGCTGCCAATCAGCAGAGGGGGACCTGAAGTTCTCCATCAGGTCCCCTTCTAGTGATTGACAGCAGCAGAGGGCGGGTGCAATATGTATGTATTCAAGCAAAAAAATATGTAAAACACACCTCTAGCTATGAATTCCATTTTCCCGGGCCGCAGCTGCAGAGATTGGGAAATGTCTCAGTGCCTGTGATTGGCACTGCGCACTGTCAGCTTCCTGGCGGGCTCGGCACGTGGAGCTGCGAACACGCCCGAGCCCATCCCTATCAGTGACAGTACTGCGGAGTATGTACCTCATACGTTATATAGCCACACACTTTAAATCCAATTCTTCTAGTTCCAGCTGCAGAGCCCGGTCCTGTCTTTGCCTATAGCAGTGGTTCTCATCCTGTGGGTCGCTGTGCAAGGTGAGAGTCCTCCTCAGCTCTCTCAGGAGTGTCAGTTCTCCTGCCACGCCTCCAGATGTCGCTGCAGCAGCCGCGTCATCCCTAAATTTTACCTTTGGGGGTCACCACAACTTGGCAAATGTTACCAAGGGGTCCCGGCCCTAGAAAGGTTGAGAACCACTGCATTAACTGATCGATTATCGCTCTAAAGACCATTCGTGGACGATTTCCGAACGATAATCGATAGGCGTATGGGCACCTTCACTCATAAGCTTTAAGAAAAAGAAAGTATAGAATACAAACACAAAGGTACCTCTTTTAACTTGTCAATGTCTTCTGTAACTTTTTTGTTTGCAGCATTGACCATTTCAAGCTTCCTGTTCCAGTCCTCCAGCAGTTTATCACAAACACTGCTCTTGTCCCCTGCTTGCCTGTTTCCACAATTGCAGGATGAAGACTTGGTGATGGGATCAGGGACTCTATTCAGCCTTTCTTCTAATGTAAGATTAGTTCTTCTTAGTTCTTCTGTCTCTCTTAATAGGGACTCAATTTCATCCTAAGAAAATATTACATGTTGGGCTGTTAAGGTATGTAAGGTAAGGTGGTCCAGACATTCAGCAGTGATTAGAATGCAAATTCTGGCACACATTCTGTATTCCAACGTTTAATGCAAGCCAGCCTGCTTAAACTAGATTAAAGAGGCTCTTTCCCTAGAGACACATGGAAGCTGCCACTGCTGACCTTTTATTCTGCAAAGAATAGTTACACTGCTGTCATCTTGATCCTTAGTCTTCAATATTTTGAGTCATAACCTAGAACTAAGAAGTAAGCACTTACCCTCCAACCACTCTGTCAATGCCCCCTCCCCACCACTTTGCAGCCTCTCTCTCTTCCACTTTCATTACTCCCTACTCTGCCTGCAATCCCTATCACTACCACTGTACCCGCACACACTCTGCCAACTCCCAGCACTCTTGCACACCCCACACCCCTGCCCTGAATAAGGCACCGGTCCCCTAT